AAGGATTACAAGAAAAGACCAACAGGCGGAGAGACTGTACGTGCACACATGTGTGTGTTTCGGGGGGAACTATCTGAACCGAGGCATGGGACCTGCTATCTGTTTCTCATTTTAGCGCCGTTCTGTGGTTTTCCAGCAGTGACAGGCCAAGGAGTGGAAACTGGCACTAACGAGCAATTACATCCTGCCTGCCTGCCAGGGATTATGGGATTACAGGCTGACCGGGCTTCAGTCTGCGCTCCCTTTCTGCACTCTCATTTTGTCATTCCCTTGCCTTCCTTGTGTTCGCGCTTATCTTTGCTTTCAGACCTCTCCCATTCAGTGGTTCAATTATCTTTTTCTCATTTTTCTTTCCCCTGGAAAGTAACCCATTGTCTATTTTTAATTCTCCTTACTCGTTTGTTCATTATTATCTCATTCTCCTTATCGCTCCTCCTCCTCTTCCTCCTCCTCCTAGCCTTTTCTCCTTTTGACTTCATGGCCCCCTCACATAGTTTAAACATGCTGTCGTTAACCGCTGAAGAGTGAAATTGGTTTAGTCGTAAAGGGGAAGAAAGGACACTTATCAAGAGCAAAATACATTTAATGTGCGTGAACTTTTAATAAGAAGGGTGAAAATGAGAAACAAAGGGTAGAGGGTGAGAGTCAGGAGAATGGCACGTTAATGTCTGAGTTTAAGCCGTAGCCCCAAATTACAAATTTGTCCCAGAAGACACAAGTTTTTACTGTTTAACGCCCTGGAGTGTTTTGTTTTGTGCAGATTAATGAAAAAAAAAAAACCCCTGAAAATCCTGTCAACAGCATGTTACAAGCAAGATTAAAGTAAAGTTCATGCTGGTTAGATGCATATATCTGTGGAGCTTTGGGGCACAAGCTGATATTATGCTACCTTTTCGAGGGGACCTCCCCAGATTTCTTGGTGTCTGGTAGTGATCAGGCGGCTCTCCTGGTGTTCAGCCTCTTTCTCCTCTTACAGGTGTCTTTTATTGAGCCAGCGGTGATTTACTGTACTCTTGTTTTTCTCCTCGCTCCTGCAATCAGGCACCGTGGTAGTGACAGGTTAAAGCTGGAGGTCAGAACATTTTACCGGCGTTCACACAGCAGAAGAGAGAGCGACTCTAATAGGAAGTTATTATCGGCGTTTGGGTTTTGTGGGGAGACTAAACACCAGAGAGCTCGGAGCTTTTTTCTTTCTTCACAATAGTGAGAGGTTTATGGAGGCTCTGTGAGTAACGCTCAGGTCTGTAATAGTATACAGTGAACCCACAGATCACTGATCAGAAAAACATCTTGGTGAGTAATAGACGGGAAATCAATGTAATATTTATACGGCCTTACAAATGTACAGTATAGCTGCAGAAAAGTTCAGGGAAAAAAGAGTGTTTGAGACAAATGTGTGACAGATGTGTGAGGTATGTCACTAATGAGGCCGATTATGACTCAGCAAGTAGAACAGCAGATTCTGCACAATATGTTTAAATGAGGATGAAGGAGGGCCTAAATGATTCTTTGGGTTTTATTATCTTATAATATATATTATATTAACTTTTATCTTTCAGACAGAAAAGTGAAATCTAAAGAGAGACATTTTACTGACTAAGCTTATACAGTTGCTTTTTAAAAAAACAAAATTTAGATGCTGTGTTCCCCTAAATGAATCCCATATTGCACTCTTATATAATAGAAAAGCATGTTTCTGTGTTGCATCACTTTTGTGGTTTGTATGTTTTGATGCTCGTAAGATGAAGGCCCAAATTATCCCAAATTATTCCCTGCTTCAGTTCAGCATGCATTCTGTCCAGTTAACTGATGTTAGTTTTACACTTGGGTCCTCTTTTCTAGAAGCTGGTGTATTTTCTTATATCTTAAATAAATATTCCCTGAACACAGTCCGCATCCACCCTGTGCAAGCACTTAAACACCATTTGGAGTAGCTATGCACTCCAGTCCTGTAAGCTCCGCGAGTATTAACTGGCTCTGTCTTCATCGGTTGCTCTCGCTTTTGGAGAGGTTGCCCACTTAACTAACTGTGAACAACAACCGCACCGCCGAGGAGCAACAACGTAAATGGAAGGTGACAAGAACTCTTTGCTGCAGACATGCAGGCTGATGGACAAACCAAAGCCTTTAATCAGCCAAACAAGGAAGAAACATTTGCTTAGCTGTCTAAACACACACACACATATACTGTATATATCAGCAAGCTTGTGTCAGTCTGAAGCTCTTCAGGACCTTCAGTGGTGTGCTCTTTTTTATTTCCCCCTCTCTCCACCCCTCAACTCCTCCACCCATCTCTGAAAAGCCTGGAGGCGTCGGGCTGTAAACAGCTCCACAGAGCCGGCGTGAAATGAACCAGCAGACAGGCCCATGTAGACTCCCAGCTCATTGATCTAAAAAGGGCTAAACACTCCCAGCTGTGGCATTAGGGGTTGAGAATGGCACCTCTCCAGAGACTCGGTGAGGATCTGCAGCCCCGTGTCCCACTTCACACTGCTGTTAGTTTCTAAATCAGCTCAGAGACAGTCGGAGATACAGAGCCCAGGAGTTGGAACGCTTTGGCTTTATGTCGCAGCGGCGGCGTCTGTTTTTCTGGCTGAGTTACGATCAGTTTGTCTCTCAATGTCCTCTTGTTCCCTCGCCCAACCCTCAGTGTGTGTAACCTCACTTTGCCTGGACTGGATCACCACAGCTGGAACAAGCAGGATTGCATAAATGCACCAACAGGTCTTATCAGGACCTGTGATCCATAACCTTTTGTCAGTCTTCCATCTCACTGCACAGACAGAACTTCTTTGTGACTGTTAAATAAACATGGTGCGCTGCATATCGGCGAGATCTATAGAGACGTGAACGGTACACGCTGGAATACGCTACAGTGGGCGTGCAGTGTTGCTGTATGTAGTTCAGTGCCAAAGTTACACAAAGCCTCTCAGAGATGATAGATGTGGTTTCAAAGATGTTGGAGGTAATTGTGGGCAGAGTGCTGTTTCAGAAAAAAACATGTTCGTGTCACATTTAAACAAGTCAAGCATACATCGCTGAAGTAATTCATTTATTAGCAGGCAAGCGGGGAAATTTCATTTACAAATAGTCACAAAGCGAAAAAATGAATTTAAGCAGAAATACAAAAGAGACAAAGAAGGCAAAGACTAAATGAAAGTGAAAAGTGAAAGTTTGGTCTTTAGGCTTTTAAATAAAAATCCCTGATTTGGCATCTTGTAGACTAAGCATCACCTGATTATCTCATGCTTTTAACCTTAATTACCTCATGTTTTAACCTTGATTACATCATATTTTTTAACATTGATTACCTCATGTTTTTAACCCAGATTACATCACATTTCTAACCCAGATTACCTCATGTTTTTAACCCAG